GACAGCACAGAAAATGCTTGCCCAGGATTCACTTTTCTCTCCTCAGATGTCTGTGTCAGCTTCATTTCTGTTTCAATGTCTAAGCATGCTAAATATGTCTAAACGTCTCCATCTGAGGTCCTTTTAGAGTTTGATGAGTGTAGATGCATATATCATCTGACCTTTTTGAGATGCCTACACTTAAATGTAAACCCAGAAATGTCTATATATTTACTGCGGGTAAAACAACACAGATAGAGACTTCTACCTTTACTCACATGAACTCTGCACTAAACTCTGAGCTCTACTTGCCAATGAGAAGGGAATCCCAAGGAGATCAGGCAGAAAAACCTATTAGGTGTCTAAATTTAGGTGGGAACCCAGCACACTCAGGACACCTGATGCTTCTAAGCCTGCCTGGATGAAGTCTGGAATACAAGAGTGGCTACAACATTTGTAGCATCTTCTGTACATTGCTCCTGCATTTAACTTCACCCTCCTTAGCAGCCCTAGAAATTAGATAGCTGTTTTTTTCTCCTTTTTTCTTGAAATACCATATTTCTGTTTTTAATCAAAGTATTTATAGTTTTATGTCAAATAAGCTGGGAGCTCTCAGGGCACCTCATATGGACTGGACTCCAGATCACAGTGGTTACCTCAACCAGCAGCTACAGATTCACATAATCACACAGCTCTGGAGTTGGCCCCTTCAACTTTCAAACTCTACAAAGGTTTCTAGGATGCTAAAGGTTTCATACATGCTAAAGCGAAACCAGTAAACTGCAGTTTCTCCCTTTTTCCTAAGAAGTTGCATCCTTGGCTTCTCATCCAACAAAGAGACTGCATGACAATTAGATCCATTAGCTGTGCAGAAGTAAAACGACTCATATAATAAAACCACAAATGCATCACCCTATTGGTCAAGAATCTGCAAGGCATCAGAAAGCCAGGAGATGTGAATCCAGCAAACTGAAAGCCAAAAGCAGCAAGGTGCCTGTTCAGCAACCCTTGCCACTGCTAAGCATATTTGTCCCCAAACTCTCTTTCTGTGTCTAGGAGTTCAGGATGTCCCATTGACCTCTGGTCTCAGCTATCGGCTTCTCGTCAGATCTCTTTGCAAAAAAACAAAGATGTGGAGGGAAGAGTCAGATGCTTTCCTTGTAGTTTGTCAGGAGAAAGGAAAGACATCACTAAAGAGCAGTGGAAGCAGATTATGACCCAGACAGGTTGGAAGCCACCAGCAAAGTGTCTTTCAGCTCAACACAAAAAGCCAGTCTGGTAGGCCTAGAGAGCTGGCCCCTGAGCTGCTCTCACATACGGACATCAAAGTACAGTGTTTGCATGTAGCCAACTCTATTATCTCTACTGCAGCTTCTATCAACTGACAAATGGAAGCCATCTGCAACAGAAACAGGACTGTGGGGAACCAGTTGTGACTGCAATGAACACCGAGCCTCTACTCCTTGATATCAAACCAGTTGCATGGCTGGCTCCATCAAACTAGTTGACAAGCAAGGGGAAAACTGAGAGGCTGATGAAAACCAGAATGTGCATCTCACCTGTGCTTCTCCAAAGCAGAGGATCAGTCCTTCCTGGAGTGCAATAAAAAGATCATGTGTGGGGGATAATTATCTTCTAAAAATATTTTTTCCGAAGCCACTTTTTGGCAGCACTTGGGAAAAGTAGTGCCCAAGTCCCACTACACGAAGATGAAGAGGTTACGACTCATGAGCAGAGCTAAAATGGTGACCTCCCACACTCTCAGCCACTGCAAAAGCAAAGGAAAAAGCATTTGCTCAAGTCGTATGCACTGTGTGAACGAGATCCTCCAAAACCAGGAGGAAAACCTCTGCTATCCCCAGCTCGTTGTTATTTACAAGGCAACAGACGCCCTCCGCACACACAGTGCGTTTTCCAGCTGGTTTCCAGCAGTGTCAGTGTGATCCCAAGCATTGTGCTAGCACAAAGGCAGCCGCCCGGCCACTCCCATCGCGCTGCAAACTCATTCATTCCCGACAGGAACGGCCGCACTAGAAGCTTTCCATGTAAGCTCTATTTACTACCAAACCCGCCCACGTCAGGCGAGCCTTGCAAAGATGGCAGGAGGAAATCGAAGCACAGAACTGGTCAACGGTGTCAAGAGGCACTGGGAATGCTGTGCTGCAGCACGCGGAAGCTGTGCTGGATCTGCTGGTTGCTGCCTGCCCACGAGATGGCAGAGCGAGCCAGGCTGCTTCGCCCTCCGCCAAGAGCATCTCGGAAGAGGGACACACACGCACACCTAGTAACCTCAAAACAAAAGGCTGGGGATAAGTGTTTTTCCCTCAGAGAGCTATGAAGAGAGAGGGCTTGGGGGAGGTTATTTATTACACCTGTAAATAATATCACCCAAGACCACAGGATTTCTTGCAATATTTTGTTAAAAACTATTGGCAGATGCCTGTAGCAAACGCCATATTCACATGTGAATTTCCAGACAACCAGAGCATTCTGTTTAACTCCTGCGAGAGGCCACTGCAAATACAAGCTGAGATACAGATACAGACTCGGGCGCAGGAAGACGGCAGCATCAAAGAAATGTGCAATGGAGCTTTGCTCTATCTCTCTCAAACCTGGTGCCCTGGATTATCACTACCATGGCTGAATATGCACATTTAGAAACACAAAGCATTTATATCACTGCATCATACCTGAGAACAAGCCAAGAGGCCAGTGTGTCAATGCACGGCCCCCCCGTCAATCTGGCACCTCCTAAGAGATGAGCAGGAAGTAATTAGAAAGCATTTGCTAATTAGCAACCCATAAGGTTTTCAAGATGGAGAAAATGTTATGCATCTCTGGCCCAAAAAGCCTCTTTTTCAGGATATGACTTAGAAACAACTGCAATGTGGGAAAGCTCCCTGGAAACCAAAGGATTCATGTCCATGCACACACATACATATGTGTCTTTGTATCCTTGTGCACTGTATCCCAAAGAGCCACTTAAAACAAGGAAGTGATCAACAGCAGCTCAATCACTGTCGGCGTCGCCTAGGCACGTTCAAATCCCGTCAACAACAACAGGTCAGGATCAACCCAGCTGTCAAGAAGCATTTCACTTGTCAACGCGGAACACGTTAAATCCTCCCCAATAGCTACGTGGCTTTTGGGTCCCGCATGCACTACAACTGTCCAGGCCTAGGTAGGCCAATCTCTGGAAGAACGTAGCATTTACGAACCAGAGCAGAGGGACAAGTAAAACACCAAATAAAATACAAATTCTGCCAGGTCTTCAAGGCAATGCTTAGACCCACGACGCTAGCAATTAAGATCTCTGAGCAACACCACACAAGTTTGAGGTGTGGCTAGAAGCACTTGATTGATAGAGATTTTCCTTTGATAGTGGCATACAGGAGAATTAATTCATCAGAACGCCACAACAGCACAAGAGGATAGTTAGCCCAGGAAGACCTGGCTTACTTCATAGCTGTCATTTATGAAAGTTCAACTCTGGAGAAGAAGAATGTCAGCTCCTGGCACAGAACGGGAGAGTTTCTTCTCTGAAAGAAACTTCTAATAGTTTCTTCTAATCCTCTTTATTTCTTTTGAATAGTTTCTTCTCATAGTGCAAGTTGCCATGACTAAAACATCACTTCATCAGCGCTGGTCCTGCTCAGTGAGGCACTTCAATGTCCCTCTCCTGAACGGGAACAGATATGCATCCTGCCGCCCTAAGCCACAAGTCACTTACCAGGCAGTGTCCTTATTCCTTGCCTGCTTTTTGCCTCCTGTCCATTAGAGGCAATTTCCTGAGTAATTAGGAGAAAGTGTCATCCTGAAAGGAAAACTCCACCCTGAGACTCTGCACTTATGCATTCAGCTCGCCTTGTCTGACCAGAGTCACAGTCCTGGCCACTGGGCACAGCCTGTGACCCAAAATATGCAGTCCCAACACATCTGGAAACTCCCTTCAATTTTATACATAAAACAATTTCAATCATCCCCCAGAGAAAATAACCTCATTTTGTAGAATTACTTGGGGCTAAATTTACTCTCAGCTAACTCTGATGTTTTCTGCCTCTGACCTAAAGTCCAGATACACTGAGCACATAAGAGACTGAGCAGAGAAGAGCTGCATGAAGTGCTTCTCCGGGCCAAAGTCAGCAATACTTCTCCACTCTTTTCACTTCTTTATCTCATTATTGCCAGCGAGATCACTCAGGAGGAATAGTAACACGGATCACCACATAACTTGAAGGATGAGCAGGCTTTTCCTCACACGATGCATGAGCAAGAATCCCAGCGGGCTCTTGCTCAGGGCTAAAAATTGAAACACGACCAGAGAACATGGGATGTCTCAGCCCTTCCCTCTGAAGGCAAAGAGGGGCTGTTCTTAAGATCTAAAGGTGACCTCAACAAGAAGCGTGCAGAGCACTTTCAGAGAGATGCATAATCCAGGGCACTCATCTCTTTTCAGGACTGGGGCATGGGAAAGAGAAGGGCTATATGACACTACTCAGCCAGCCTACTTGATGGGGCTATTTAATTAAAGGCCACATACTCCTATTTCCTCACATCTGAGTGCCAAAAAAGTGAATAATCATTACATACACACACACATGCACGCTTCAGGGTAGAATCATCTGAATCAACACAGTTAATGATGTCTTCTTGACAGCATGATTCCTTTTATGAAACCTAAAGGACCACAGCTCAGGCTATCCACAGTGCTTAGGAAGCTAAGTCTTAGGGAAGTCAATGGAGTAACAGTCTACTAGGATCTCTTAGAATTTCTTAAGAAATTTCTTAAGAATTCTAAGAATTTCTTAGCTGGAAGTAGTGGTAGATCCAAGATTTTCATCGGACTTAACCAAATGGCAGTGAAAGCCCCTGTTGCCCTCAGGCCACCACTGCCAGCTTAGACCACTCACCTTGCCTGGGAGCTTCCCCAGGTTCTGTGGACCATTTCACGACGAAAGGAGGCAAAGGGAGCTGTTGGGGTATGAGCAGTACTGTGGAGCAGAGATGGCTCCAACACCTACCTGCCACACGGGAAGGACCTTCTCTATGTCGTTCAGGTTGATGCTGTCGCCATCCTCATATTTCCCTTTGCCAAGTCTACAGTAGAAAGAAACAAAACAAAAGCTCATGAACCATGCCGGAGACTCTCACAAAAACAGAGGCGCTCTGAAATGAATACACCTCGAAAACGCTGCCGCCCAGGCACGAAGTCACTTCTATCAAGTGACTTGTATCCAGTCCCACCCACCAGCACCAGCTACTTCTTGCCAGAGCATTAAAATGCTCTTACTATGTCCTGGTTGAAACTCTTGGGAGAAAACTTAAGGCAGTCTCGAGCACTAATACTAGGTGATTTAAAGGGAGTGAATTCCCATGCCAATGAAAATAGTATCCACTTGGATGAAAAAACGGGAAAGAAAAATGTAACCATAAGTGTTTCTTTTGAACTGCTTCTCATTTACTAGACTTCCCCATGCCTCTTGTTCTCCTCGTGAAAAAGACAGCAGCGAGCAAGCATAAATTTAAATCACGAACAGGCAAAAAGCAGAACACATCAATACAAATATAAACATAAATTCTGAAACACATACAATTGGCAAGAGAAATCAAACATAACAGCCCAAATAGATGGCTGCCGGGATGATTAGCAAGCTTTATTAGATCAAGAAATAATAATAAAAAAAAATTCTGAAAATATTATGGGTCTGCTACTAGTTAAATGCAAACCACTTGTTAAGAAGGAAGAAAAATTGTCAATATATACAGACTTCTGCATTTATAAATAATCAGAGTAATCAATTTTTATCCTGCAAGAATGATAAAAGTATTTTTCAGCCAGTTAGTGATAAGATGTTAAAAAAAATACATTAGACAGCAAATCAAAGAGCACAAGATCGAGGTAACTGGTGTCCAGGAGGCCAAGATCAAATCTTGGTAGAATCACAGTAAAAGGGGAGGTCATAGACCTCTGTGGAGATCCCAGAATATTCAGGAAAAAAATGCCATGTGTTGAAGCACCTTTCCAGATTCAGTAGGCTCATTCAGCATGATTTCAGTGTGGAAAGGTCACGAATGTCCAACAGAGCAAACTTAAAAAGGAATAAAAATATCTTGTCTTTATTTCTTCCATTCTAACTGGTGTAGCTTATGACTTGTATTAATCACATTCTGTGAGATGCACTGTTTGTGCCAACAACATGTACTTAGCCTAGAAACTTAAGAGTTACTCACGTTGTTCCAAATATGCTGAAAACTAGTTTATTTACCTGCTGTAAATGTTTAAAAAGTGCAGAAGAGCCTTACACAGTTAAGTGCCTTTGCTTCTTGTTACCCCAGCACCAGTTACAAAGACAAATGCTGAACCCTGGGCTGGGCAAGGATGGCTACCAGAGATTAGCCCAGATAAGTGTATAGCAGTTGCCTACACTTTGGAAAAAAACAACTCACTAACAGGTAAATTACTCTGAGAGTGAATTCCTATCATTACATATAATAGAGCAGCACTGGAAAAAATCACTTGTAATTTTCTACTCTCCATTTTCTACCTCTTCTCATTTTTCCTTCATCTACAGATAAAAATGACTTGTGAAAAATGGCAAAAGTATTACTAGATAAAACATAGCTGTGGGGTAACTATACACTTTTTTCAGCAGAGATCTTCTAGGAGTTGCATCAATAATATGGCGAAATCTTGGGTCAAACTAGGATCTTTCCCCCAACAGTAAAAAATATTTGAACACGGTCTAAAACCGAACTCCACCAAGTAACACTAAATACAGCGAACAGCTCTGCTCCTGCCCAAAACTGCATGACCAAGTTAAAAAACAGGCAGTTCCATTTCTGATTCAGGAGATCGCAAATCCCACCAAGTCCTCTGTATGAGAGGCACGACCAAGTTAGTATGCCCAGTACAAGGAAAAGTTGTATATGTCCGGAGACATATATATGTTCTCTCACTGGAGAGAACAACCTCACTAGTACTCCTGAGGCTGGGGCCGCTCCACAGACACACAGCACTCACCCTTCTCTGTCTATATGAGGCAACGGGTGTTTGGAGGTGTTCCGGAGCTTCCTGTGAAACTGGGTGAAGTCTAGTTTTTCGGGTTGCAAGTCCCACGTCGCCCCACTATGAGAGAAAAACGGAGACACACAAAGACAGAAAGCACCCTACTATATAGACACAATGGGCTGAGGAGCAGGTGGAACATCTGAGCCTTCTCAGAGGAGGAAGGCTGGTGCTTCTGGCGACACTGCTCTGCTCCAGAGCACTCGACACAGACCTCCGACCTCTACACTGCTGCCTTATGAACTTTCTTCGGGTTTTGGTAGATGCTGAGCTCTCCAAAGTTGGAGTTGCCTTTTCTAAACTCCTGCTTTCAATTGACATGTAGTTAAACACCTCGACAGCTACATTTGCTCTTTAAATCAAGGAGCTTTTGCAACAGGTGCTAGCCTGGTCCATGAAACGCAGAGGCTCTGTTCCCTTATAGTCTGCCTGCTGCAATGTGTGCTTCATGGGCTAGGACCCTGGAGCAAATCCCAGGGGAAACATTAACTCCTGCAGGCACTGTGCAGGCTCCTGATGGGTTTCAGGCATGGTGCAGGGAGATGCACACGACTGGATGGAAAGCATATTTCCCAGATCTCAGCATTCCTTGCTTCACTGGGGCAGCACGCTCATTTTCCCAGTGCTGCAATGGTAGCTGAGCAGCTCTTCTCAGCAGCTGCAAAGCAAAATGCATGAGCTGCCAATTAACAGAAGAAAAAAATCCCCCAAATCTGGGAGTTCGGAGCTGCTTCGGTCCTGCCCGTCCAGCTACAACTATTCATATCAGTAACTTATTCAGACATGTGGACTGTGCTCAGCGGCCTCTCCTAGCACACGGGGTGCTGGAAGCAGGTTGTGTCATGGGCTAAACAGTGAGCAGGAGGAAGTCCAGTGACAGGGGCCTGTGCCAGAGTGCCACCCCATGCCATCAACTCCAGGACAACACACAGACAAAAGCTAATGGAGCCCATCTTTTAAAATACATTTGTTGGAGGGCTTACCTGAAGGATTCAAAGGTATTGGCTGCCCAGATGTCTGTGCCCAGCATGTCCAGGTTGCTCTCTTTGTTGCCATTCTAAAAAGAAGGGGAAGAGGCAGTTACTTGTAGTAAGGTGTGAAGCTCTTCGCAGCCGCTGGCCCAGCTCAGATCTCATGTGCAAGCCAGGCCCACCCCACAGCACGACAGGTGAGCTCTACAGCTCTGCGCGTGGGCCTCACCATGGCCACAGGGCCACGAGGCTCTTTGGGCTTCCTCATTTCACTCGCTGTTTGAAGGGGGTGGTAACACCAGCGCAAGGGGTTTCTTTAGAGTGGTCATGACCCATGAGTTGAAAGGTCGGCTCACCTGGGGTCACAGCAACATTAAGAGTGGTTGGGTGGCTGCACACAGTGGCAGGTAAAAAGAGGTCTTAGGTGCATAATGACAGAAAAACACTAGGCCACCCTCCCAGCAGCCCTGAGTCCCCTCGCTCACTAAAACAGGGTGTTTTGGAGGCAGGGAGTGACACACAGTTTCAGCCTTATGGACACACAGCTGTGGACAACATAGAGTAGACAACACACAGTTCCTGCTCTAACTCGGGCACATCCTTCCACCCCACCTTCCATAGCCAACATTGGGGCACAAGGCCTATCCAACCCATCAAGGCCCAGCTTCACAGCTGGGCAGGTTTGACATCATGGTTGTGAGGACACCCAACCTGAGCAAACCACAGAGCAAGTTCTTCATGGGGCAGAGCAGCCTGAGGAATCTCTAGACCCCTCTAGAATTTACCATCATGTTAACAACCTTTTCGACGAGCCCCAATATCACGACTTCCCTTTGCTCAAACTAAACCTCACCACGGGATATAGCAGTTTGTCAGAACTAACATTACCACTGCTGTAGGCTTCAAGATTGTAGCAGTCATTGCTAGAAAGCTGCTACACAAAACATTCAAAGCATCATGCTGAGCTTGCCAATACATTTTTTATCTCTTCCTCAAAGGCATTATCCTTTCACATGAAGCGTGGAACTAACTTTGCTTTTTGTCTCATTGCTTCTGCTTGGCCCAAGATCAGAGTGCAACTCGCGTCCAACCCCGCCATTGAAACACATCTTGCAAGGGCTTTTGGAGGAAAACTTCTGTCTCAAAGGCGAAATCACCCTCCGTCCTGCAAAGCTGATTGCACTGGTGCATCTCACACACTGCTGACCCTTGCACCCTTCGCTGTCAGACAACAGCACCTTCAGCTGCATCTGACCAGCTGACGTGACAGCCCTGGGCCTTATAAGCCAGCAGTGCCATTTCTGCAACATAAACTGCCAGAACGTCTTGCTCTCCCACTGAATAGTGAAATCTCAGTTTTTTAAGGAAACGAGGTCAAGCTGGGCTTCCTTTCCACCACAAAAAAAACTCCAAAAAAAACACAAGTAGAACTGCAGGTTGTGCTGGATTGGGTTCTGCGGTCTTCATGAAAGGGTGGTCCTGACCAGCCCTCACTATCTTCACGCTACAGGTCTAAGGCTGTACCCAACAGCAGTGTTGACTCCTTTGATTTTCATGCTGATGTTGTGGTGCACTCTAACAAGAGAGCTCCTTCCCTGCAGAAACAACACCAGCACTACAGCATAATGAGGCTGGGATTTTAAGAAGTCTCCAATAAATGGCATACACCTTGAATTAGGATAAATTTTGTGAGGTACTCACTTCTTTCAAAATCAACCTGAAGAGCACTGAAGGGAAACACCTTCCTCTGTTCTTCCTGCTTCACAGCCCCTTTATAACCAGCAGCCTATAGCTGCCCCACAAAAAATGTCCTGCCCCTTCCACCCTTCACAAGCAGAAGAGAGGCAAAAAGGTTAAGTGTAGTGGATTCAGGATCATTCAAGAAATCAGATCGTACTCAGACCTATACGGGACAGACACATAAATGCATTAGGAATAAGGAATCCCACAACCCTGTTCCCACTGCCCATAGCTTGGCCCTGGGCTGTTACATCTTGTATTTCTTCTGCAGCCTTTTTCAAACATTTCAGGCGAAATGGTGCCACCACAGAGAAACAAGTGTAGGAGAATGAGGCTTATGTAGGCTCTAATTTCAGAGCGGCCCAGACCATGCACAGTGGCCTTCACCAGTCCAGGACCACACAGCAAGATTCTCTGCAAAAGCAATTTTAGGCTGTTTTCAGCCATGGGCACTACCAAAATAAAGAAATAGTAAAAAAATAAACAATAAAAAGGCAGGTCTGTCTACTTGCACAAGCAATTCTTTAGCAGTGTGGGCCCAAGGAGCAGCATTTAACTGTCATGCACTGGTCTGTCTGAAGATCATCCAAGTGTTTCCAAGCATGAATCTACTCTATTATTGCTGATGGCTGTCCTGAAAGCTGCTGTTTCTAATGTACAAGGTGCATTTAATCAGTTCATAAAATCACGATACACATGCTGATAACAAAGAATGCCAGGATTACTAGGAAAAAACATTGCTTAAATACACATATAGCTTTCCTGAGACACCACCAATTTTAAATACTAGCAATAACTGAAAACTCATCAAAATTGGACCATTTCTTAGTGAAGTCCCATATCACAACTTGCACACGAACTGAGGACTACTTTTCCAAAGAGAAGGGTGCGCCCCTCCAGCATGCTACAGATGGCTAGATTTGAGAGCTATTCCCACAACAGCAAAAAATTTAGGCAACAGATGTTCAAAAAACCGTTGCATTGCTCTTTTTCCACCTACACCCTCCTAGAACTGGTCTATGGATGATGACTTTAACCTTCTGGGATCTGCTGTTTAACATATTTCTGTACAGAAACAAAACTAACAGAAAACCTCCTATGATTAGGCATGGAAGCAGAGCTCTTTAATTTCATCAAACATAAGTAAATTTTTTCTCATCAAAGAGAAAAATTCATTTTCTAAATACTTAGGGGCAATCTCATCTGGTGTAATGAATAGGTCTTCAAAGTTACCACCCGAAGAAGAACCACCTCTTCTTGCAGACTCTGCACAGGGGCTTCCTATGGACATGGTGTATTGCAAGTATCCGTCAATGAGATACCAACAGGAGGATTTCCCCAAAGGAGAGTATTTAGACTGAGGGAGAAAGTATAGGACCACGTAACCAGTTACAATGAGGATGAGACAAATCAGCAACACCCTTATTGAACAGCCAAGACTTCAGTGTGGGGATGGGTTCCTAATGAAACAGGTTGGGTCTTGAAACTGTTTTCCAGTTCAGCTTGGTGCTGGATAATCTCTAAACTAATCTCTAAAAACTGGATGGAGACCATAGAGGCTCAGAAGATGGGTCTAAGCTTTTAGCTGCTGTTGGATATCCACACCTCAACTAGACTGCAACTCAGCTGGTCTCCTAGACTATCCCTGTTGCTTCTAGGAGATATTCAAAATATTAGTTTCATTCCATAGAAAAAGGCAACTGCGACAAACGATAGTGCTATTTGTCATTAAGGTGTGCATCACTATGATCCTTTCAAGACAATCCTCTTTTCTTCTGTCTCCATTCAAAGGGCACGGAGTGCAGCTGATGCAACAAGAACCAAAGAGAGAATGGGGTAGCACCCGTTCTTTAGCTCAGCAGCTCTATACCAGCTACAGGGCCCTGTGAAAGCTCTCAATATGGAACATGGAATAAGACCTAATAATAATGCAAAAAAACCCTCTCTACAATTCTCAAGTCCAGAGGGAAAAAAAGAAAACACATATTTAGAAACTTACTTCTCGCCAGTTCCGCCGGCTCTGTAATTATAATCAGTTTTAACTTGGAGTTCCCAGTGACCCAACCCACAGATTTAGATAATAATTTTCATCAAAAAGGAGTTAGGACTGTTGAAAATTAATTAAGCCATCAGGAATGATGACTGAGAGAAACACTAATGAGACTATCACAAACACTCAGAAAGATCAGTGATCTAGTAGACAGCCTCTACACACACTGTGCTTTAAATGCATTTGCATAACCTCTGTCCCACTGATCCTGTGAGCACACATCCAGGTGAAAAAAATCCACATTGACCATTGCTGAACCAAAAAAAAAAACCCCAGCTCAACCTAACACCAATTTCTCTTGCCGCTCCTCATTACCATTCCCTAGCAAATCACCACAAATGCAAAATCGTGCTCTTCATTGCTTGACTGCTGCCACACGTCTAATCACTGAGCTTAGCATTAATATAAAATAACACGCAGGGTCAGCTGAGTCTCAGCACTGCCCGTGGTGTAAATGCAGGGATTACCCTGGGGGATGTGTTATTTTTCCAGCGCATGTAAAGTCCACATTTGCCAATATTTCCCCTCTTAACCAACTCTGCCACTGGCTATGACCTCTGGCTGCACTTGGCTGGAAAACAAGAAAGAACTGCCTAAAAAGGCTCTGATTTAAGTTGCTGTTGTTGTAAAAACGACAATTTATCAAAACTGAAGGTTTCCATGAAGAAAAACAGCAATTTTGGCAGGGGATATGGAGAAGGTCCCCAATCTGAGTTCAAGAGGGAACTAACCTCAACGCAGATCAAAAGCCCATTCTCAAATTCCTTTTTTTTCAGGTCAGGAAAGTAATTCCCCACCTCGTCCAGCCAAGAGTCCCCACAGAAAGTAGCTGGTGTCAAGGGCACAACTAACACTGTGCCCATGGTGCCCAATACTCGTAGCTAGTGCTGCAGATCAGCTTCTAACAAAGACTCGCCAAAAAAAATAACTGAAGACATCTCTTAATTTTGAAACACCTAAGCAGACACACACCGTGCCATGGCAGCCAAGTCACAGATGCTGCACAAACAACCCTTTAGGCGCAGCTCATAGCTCACACGCACGCCCTACACGTAGACACAGCCGCACACAAGCCACGTGCTCCAGAGGACATCTCTGGTGACCAGCCAAGCAAAGGACACGATTCCAGCACTCGTGCACCAGCTCGTCCCACCATCACTACCACAGATACCTTGGTCAAGCGACTCAACTGGCTGCTTCTCCCGGCTGCCAGCCCTGGAGCCAGACCCACGCGTGGAGCCCGAGCTAGGCCGGGATCCTGAGCTGCCACTGCTGCTGCGATCCCACTCTTCCTGGAAACGACAAACAGGCCGCTTTAGTCACGCGCCTTGCGAGGCCAGCCCCGCGCCAGCCCCATGGCTCCCTTGGCAAGTGCCGGAGACCGGCCCAAGCCCACGGGGCCCCACGGGGACATGTTTTGCTCTGCTGTCTTGGAGTCCTTCAGCATCTTGAGGTCATGTCTTCTCATGCCAGAAGGCTAAGGAGTGATGTTATGGGAAGGCAGGATAAGGTTTGGTTCTTGGGCTGCAGTTTACCAGTCTGCAAGGGGGGAATTAATACTTACCGCCTTTACATCCAAGAGGGTAAATCATGCATATTCAGCAACCCTGCATCTTGGAGAACTCTTTATATCCTTAATACTCCCCAAATCTAAACCATCTGCTCAATCACTTTTGCTCTGGGCTTAGACAACAGTTGGACTCCAGCTCTTCACACACCTGAATACACTGGGATTTCACCAGCCCAAAGACTTAAACAAGCAATTATTTTAGTCTATCAAAAAGCCACCCCTCACGTTCTGCCTTTCTTCTCCTAAGATGTGTCCTCCTGCCAGAGGTCCGGCAGGTTTCTTGTTCAGTCAGGTGCCCGCGGGATGAGAGGAGTCACTGGGAAACCAAAACTACCTATTTCAACGCACGGATTTACCCAAACCACCCACACGGCAGCCAGAGTGGAAGGTGGGTTTTGCCAGGGCAAGCGCTTCAAAAGCTTTGCTCAGAGGCTCAGGGTAAAACTTTGAAGTGACCTAAGATGATTAAAAGAAAAACAGGACTTTCTCAAAGCACAGAATATTCAACTCTTTCTCATATTCTGAAAATGGGGAAAATAAAAAAGCAACTGTGCGTTGAAGGACTGGGGTAGAGCTTACCACAATTATATGTTTGTAAGCTTGAGTTTCACAGCTTAGTCTAAGCCGCCTTTCCCAGCCCATGCACTGGGATTGCATCAGTTTTTATTTACTTAATTAAGGAGCATTCTGCGTAAGCAAGACCACATTAGAGCCTCTTCCCCATGGTCTGCACAGCAAGTGCAGCGCCGTGAAGACGTGCACCAGCTGACTCCATCTACGGCTACGTTACACAGTGCTGCGGCTATGGCACGTCACATATTCATTAAGTAGGAGAGGTTGTGGCTCTTCCCAAGGGATACTGTTAAACTGGCATGCAGGAAAAATTGGATTGGTGCCAATGGCGAGACACAGGGAGGTGGCCGCTTGGGACGCCTTGGGAAACAGCCTGTCCTGCAGTCATCCTGGCAAGAGAGAACCATTTCATCCGATGTGGGGAAGACGCAAGCACAGAGTGAAAAGCAGAGAAATGTCTCTACCGCCTGGCTGTTAGAAGGATCAGTTATGAGTGTAATTGTATCCTACATGCTAAGGCCACAGAAAAGGGTATCCTGTCCACCTAGGTCAGCATTAGTAAGTGCAACACATGGGCTACAGGGAGGTGTCTTTTTAGAGGTTTCAAACCACTTTTAAAAAGACAGAATCAAAAGCACCCAGAGTTCATTTCTGACACTTATGAGATAACATTTGGGGATGTATTTGGAAAGCCAGGAAGTACGCATAGATTTTCTTGGGGTATTTGGAGAAAAAAAAAAAAACATAAAAACTCATCCTGAAACATGAGTCTGCTCCAAATGCTTCCTACGCTTCAAAAGAGTCACTGTGAGAAACCCCATGACCACCACCTAAATGGTGGTCACTTTGCAGAGACAGACAAAAATAAATAAATCAAGGATGTAACATCCCTCAGGAGGCACCACAGAAACAGACTGGTTAAATCACACGCTGAATTTGAGACCCCCACCTTGATGTTTCTTCTCCACGTTCCTCAGGTACCACAGAATCACAGAACAGTTGAGGTGGGAAGGGACCTCTGGAGATCACTAGCCCAACCACCCTGCCAAGCAGGGACACCTGAAGCCTGTTGCCAAGCCTCATACACGGCAGCTCTTGGTGCTTTCAGAAAGAGCTGGTTATAGTTACAAGCCTGACTTCTGCTCATGGCGGCCTGCAGATCAACGGGGGGGATTCAGGGCGTTGACTCAGGAGACCATCCAGGCTACATCCCTTCACCTCCAATCTCATTGCTCAGGCTGCAAATCAGCATGTCCCTGCACAAATACCGGGAAGGTGGCAGGCCAAAAATCACGCCATGAGAAAGCGAGGGTTAACTCCAGCATATGATAACATCTGCACTCACTGAGATGAGACAGTGCAAACGTCATGAACCAACAAGATAAAAACCACCAATATTGCTTTCACTCAATCTGTTTGTTTTCTGTCTCTAGTTCATGAGCCCATGAGCTTTTTCACTCTTTTATTCCTCATCTCTTGCATTTTCTATCCTTTTCACACAAAGAAACCTTTTTCCAGTCAATAGCTGGGCTTAACATTTATCACAGGTTGTCCAGGGATCAGATGCAGCACTCTCACACCTCCAGCTAATGGCAAGATTATCTACAAGTCTCCCACGTGATATTTTTGTTAATTTAAGCCAGTAAAGCGAAGAAACAGATTGGATTCCCCTACAGCTCTGAAAGTAGGTGAATAAATAGTTTTAATGGCAAAACATTCTCTGTTCCTTGTTCTTGCCTCACACCGAATACCTCCGTATCCCTGTCCTAACATTCTCTGTTGAGGTGCTCCACAAACCACCAAGACTCTTCCAGTACTACAAATGACCTTCCAGCTCTTGTTTCCATTTCTCACCAGGCTCCAGCCACCTTTCTAAATCTGCCCTTTCCACCAGGAGGGGACCTCTAAGCTTGGAATGTGACCCCTCAAGAGATCCACGGAAACAGCTGCTTTCACCCATGCAAATCCTCCAGGCCAATTCTACAACCTCTTGGGAACCGTGAGGCTTGTGCACATTAACGCTGCCAACCGCCCTCTTTTGGGAGCTAGTTGTCAAATCTCACATTTGCATTTTAATTAAGAATAATAATATGTTTCACTTACATCGCAATTTTCATCTTCACAGCTCTTTGCAGCATGAACTAATTAAGCTTCTTTCCTTTCCCAGACCAAGACTTGATTCTTTTTGCTGGTTCAGCACAGGTGTAAAAATTCATGGAGAGGGAGGGTGGTTTCCCCAACGTTCCAAAACAGGAATGCAGTGACCACCTACGCAGTTGCCCTGTCCTTGTATTTACAGCAAGCTGCGCTGGGAGAAGCGTAGCCTAAATACAGCAAAGGCACCAGCCTCAAGAGGCCTGGAGACAACACTGAGCTCCTCATCATCGCGCTGAACATCGTGCTTCACTTTAATATCCAGCTGTAGGGAGTCCTGCAAAGAGCTCCAGCAATGACACGAGCCTTCACGCTCCCCTGGAAGCCCAGCAGCTCTACGGGAATAACTTGAGCCTTAACCCCACTAAGAACTGGAGAAGGCAGCTATCATGTAAAGGGTCCTTTTTTTCTCCACAGCATAAATTTTCATGCACTCACTACCCCCTGCAGTTAAGTCATCCAGTTATGCAAAATTTTGGCACCAAACTCCGAGTGTTTCTTTTAACAACTCCCTGCTCTTCTAGATCTATTCAAGAACAGCAGTTTTACCATTTCTTCTCCAACAGATAATAAATAATTGAGAAAAGCTCTTTTAAGCGAAAAGATTTACCCAAAACATTAACAAGGGACAAATTCCCAGCTTCTTTATTCTCTATGAGTTTTATAAAGTGTCAGAAAACCTTATCGAAAACTCAACCACTATAAAAAAATCATGCAGAAGAACCAACCACATAGAAAAGAACAAGTAGTTATGCAAAGAGTGCTGCAAAAAACAATTCCGTTTTCTAAGGGTTTACATCTCAAAGCTGAGTGTTTCTTGATGCCTTGACATCTAATGAAAGTGCACTTGTGGCTTTTCTCTCCAGATAGATCCAGACGGGAGGCAAGTTCAGCACAAGGTATGCGGATATTTTTCCTGTTTACCTCCTTCCCCTCTCCACCTTTTCTCAGAGAAATAATAAGGCTTTCTCTCTTTCCTCTTCTGCCAACTTTACAAAAACAAACAAATAAACAAACTAACAAACAAACAAAAACCAAAAACCCAAAACAGTGAGGCTTTAGCAAGCCAAAGGTGCTTTGCAAGCACCCAACCTGGAGCCCACTCCACTGTCTCCCACAGCATGGGGTGGAGACTGAGGTCTTCAAGGGAGGGAAAGTGTCTAACTCACATTGTTGTGTCTGTTGTGTCTGTTGTGTCTCACGCCTATGTGTATTAATCCAAATGATTACAGCCATGATTCCTCCACTGCAAAGAAAACCTCCTCTTTGCTCTCCTCGTTTAGGTTCAGTCTCTGCTGCATTTGCCTTTAGAGTTCTCTTATAGCACCAGCTCCTGCAACCAGCTTAGAAACAGCAGATCCAACAGATGTGCAGCTGCCTGCGACCCGGACCAGTAAACCATGTACAATTACATTAGCTCCGTGGTTTGTGGTCTGCTCAGCTTCCACCTGATTTCCAGGTTCAAGATGCTTGTTTTGACCTTCGAAGCCCTAACTGACCGGTTTTCCATCCTACCATCCATCTGAACAATTCCCCT